ACACACACACACACACACACACACACACACCTGTGCTCATATGCTTGTGGGGACTGTCCATTCATTTCTATGGGCAAAACCCTAATCCCAACAATGACACCCTTAACCCCCACCCGCCCCAAACCTTAACCATAAGTAACCAAACAAAATACAAGACTTTGTTTTTTACTTTTTTGATTGCAGTCACAGATTTTTATAAAACTGATTTTCCCTTTGTGGGGAGTGAAAAAATGGTGCCCATAATGTCAAAATGGCAGGTTTTTAATCACATTGTGGGGGCATTTGGTCCCCACAATGTAATGTATACTTGGACTACATACACACACACACACACACCAACAGACAGACACAGACACCAGTCTGGTCACAGCTGAAATTTTCAGCAAAAGACAAAACATGCCTATATATCTATTTGGGATCCCATCATTTTCTTCTCACGTGTATGGAAAGCTAACTGGTTAACTTTGCCACTGAGACCAGTGGTTCAGAGACAAACCATACTGGGACACTGAAGGATGGGGCAGAACATCTATATGCTTGTAAAAGGCTACAGGCCAAACAGGGCTTTGAGAAATACATCAATAACAAAAGACCCTGCAGGGTGACTGTGCGCTAAGGCAGAGCAGTGATATTTACTGTCCCAGTGCAGTGTGCATTTAGGGCATTTCCTGCTAAGGCAGAGCAGTGATATTTACTAATGCAGTGCAGTGTGCATTTAGGGCATTTCCTGAAGCTCACCAACTCATTTAAATTTAAACTAACGTCAAATATTTAATACTTAAAAGGTGATATTTAACCTCAGGGTTAATTGCAAGATTATCTTAAATGACTCATTCCTTCCAGTTCATGTAATGTCACTTGTAGCATTTAAATATCACAGATGAACAGACTGGTGTATATATAAAATTATGTACACTTTGTTAAATATATTATTACAAGACTATTTCAGTTACAGAACGCATACAGTTTCTATGTTTGTACATTTGCAGATATTGCAATACTATAATAGTAACAGAAGTTACTATAAAATATCATAATTAAAACCCATCCAATCACCCACCCCTTTCAGTAGCTTATCAAGAACTTGGTCGTGGGGGGGGGTTAGCAGTGTACAGGAGTCTAACCCAGGCCAAAAACCTCCCTGGACTGGCATCTTAGCAAACGAGCAAATTAGAAAATTAGCGCCGGTTGAGTGACATGACAGCATTCAGTACTGAGCCACTGCAACCTCTGCCTGTTCACCAAGCTTCAGAAAAAAAATCTCTATCTGAAATACACAGTTGCCCCTCGGTATCTATGGGGGATTGGTACCAGGACCCCCTGCAGATACCAAGACCCATGGACACTCAAGCCCCATATATAAAATGCCACAGTATTTGCATATAACCTGTGCACATCCTCTTATATAAAACTTAAATAATCTCTGGATTACTTATAACAGCCAAGTCAATGTAAATTGTTATTATTCCCTAAACAATACCATATAACGATAAGAAACAACAGAGTACATGTTCAGCACAGACGCAGGCTACAGCACTAATACTATAATAACTATAAAATCTCACCACTAGGTGGCAGCAACACAAAATAAAAAACTTACTAACTTGTTAGTGGATAGAGTTGGCTCATGTTATTCGTTTTTTTCCGTTTGTATCAGACACTTTTGTCCAGAGCAACTTACAATAAAGTGAAGGGTTACAAATCGGTTTTTTCTCTAGGATTTTAACCCACAACTTTATTGCTATACATATAGACCTAGTCACTGACAGCTGCCCAGCACTGCTCAGAAGGTTGAGACAGACCTTCCATGCCAGCTCTTCCTTCTCCTTGCGGACTTCCTTGCGTACCCCCTCCCTAGCCAGGGTGAGCCTCTCCTGTTCGGCCAGCAGCTCTCTCTCCAGACGCTCCCGCTGCCTGGCCAGCTCACCACGCACCTGCTCACATTGCACCTGGGCCTGGGGGCAGACACACATGCTCACATGTAATACAGCACACTGCGTCAACTCCTACACACGCTCACCGCCAGCCAAGCCCCTGAGTGCTCAGCATCTCAGCTTTCTAAACACCTTATCATTTTCTGGAAAAACACATAGTGAAAACTCTAATATTGATTCTGAAATTGGTCCATGGTCTTGGAAGAACTTGCTTCCAGTAGAGAAGTTGTATATCTGGATCAAAAATTATGCAGAAGGGCCAGTTAAGGTTTTGTACAAACATGCTTTATGCTTGTTACTGAAGAGCTCCCTGGAAAAACAACCCAAAACATTTGTGCATTCATAGTACATCTACAGTCTGGCTTGGACTGTGGAATTGGAATGGATCCAACAGACAGTAGTCTCACCCTGGCTTTCTCCAAGCTGGCCTCCTCTGCCATCTCCACGGCCTGCTTCACCTGCTGGTAGGCGCTGCGTTCCCGCTGCTGCATCTCACTGTGTGTCGCTCGCAGCGAGGACAGCGCCCCCAGCAGCTCATCCCGCTCCCTGAAGGGGGGATATGGGCAATGCTCTCTCCAAGACCACAAGTGGAACTATACACTCCAACACCTACCCACTGCCTCAAGTCAAAGTGCATGCTCTCTGATCATGTAATAACACTGGGCTTTTAACCCCTGTGAGGAGAAAGTTACAATTAACTGAATCTGAGTACAGAGAAGGGAAAGTGTTTGAAACAGTATGACGCATGGAAAGTCCAAACTGGATTTGCATTTGCCAACTTCAATAAATCTATCATCAAAGCTTTGTATTCAAAGAAAAATCCCACAAATTGAAGTTCAGATTCTATAACTAACTATGACACATCTTCTTGTTTGTTTGCTAATATTAGCCATAGAAGAAACATTGAAGCTTCTGTTCTGAGCACTGAACTGCAGTTACATCTGATAATGCCATGGCTTGCTTAGCGGAAGCTCTAGGTCATTAAACATTTCTATTCTCTTTTTTTAAATCTGTCCACATTTACAGATAAAGTGATAACTGGTATCAGACAGTGCCTGTTGATGACAGAAGGCGAACAAAATCAGCTCTCAGAAGAGGCCTTGCTGAAGCCCATTAAAATCTGTAAAAACACAGAGAGCAGGCAGAGAGCGGACAGCTAAGCCTCACGGGGAAGCTCACTTGGTGAGTCTCTCGACAGCCTGGGCATGGACACTGCCATGTGCCTCCTGCTGGGCACACTGCAGGCACAGGCCGCCAACCCGCGCCAACCCGCCGCCAGACGAGGACGCTGCCTCCTGCCTCCGGAGACGACCTTTCACCTCCTCTGTCTCCTTCTGAGAGGTCGTCAGCTCCCTCCTGGGATGGGGCAGGGTGGCACCAAAGCCACTTTAACACCATGACAATCTCCTGCAGCACACGTGTGCATGTGCACACGCACGCACGCGCACACACACGCACGCGCACACACGCACACACAGGTTGCTTCCACACCAGTCCTTAGTGTTGCATTTAAAACATACCTGCACAAGGCAAAACACCACAATAATTCTAAAACCATAAACCCAGCTATCCTTTTATATTAACCTTGTGCCTTTTTTCCAGGAAAAAAAAAAAAAAAAAAAGATGTCACTTAGAGAGATTCCCAGGGCAACATCAGCAGAGACGATGGAACACATACCTCAGCGACAGCACCTGTGTCTCCAAAGCCTGCGTCTGTGCTTGATACAGCAGCTTAAGCTGTGCCTAGTGGGTACAGCACAGCCAGGGATGACAGGGGACATGTTTTTGACATTCACAACACACGTGGAGAATGTGAGCAACGCTAAATATCCAGCCAAGGCCGTTTCTGACTGTGCGTTTACTCATGTGGACTAATGCTAGATAACAATCCCTACAGCCCTCAATGATACTGTATTCATTTACAGTATTATACTACCATCCATCCATATTTATATGTGTTAATATCAGTTAATTAATGGTGTATAAGTTCATGTTCTTTTGTCGCGTGTGTTGGTACAGAGCAAACCGCAATCAGCAAATGACTTTTGTCTCTTTTGTTCACGCATTTTCTTTCTTATCTTTGCTAAATCTATTGCATTTTAGGCCAATATCGTGATTTTGGATAACAGCAAGAATTAACAGAGAATAAAGTAAGATTATGCTAGAAATATGAGGAAAGTGCATCTCAAAACAACCGGGATGAAAAGGGAGGTTAAAAAAAACAGGTTTGAGGGTGTCAAGGACAGATGAGCTTATCTCACAAACCAGTTCATTCTGCCATTTGTTAGTATCCAGTTGCTGGGCCACTGCTGCAGCAGCCTGCTCTCCGCGCTGAGCCCGGTCTGCTTTGGGAGTACTGCCCATCGGTTCCGGACCATCCGTCTGCAACAGAGAGAGTGCAGTCAGGCCTTCCCAGCCACACCAGCAAACCCATTCTGAGCGCATTTTCCTCTGCCCAACTTTTGCTGGGTGTTTGAAGTAGCACATGGCGGTGGCACGTGACAGCAAATCACCGGAGCGTCCAGGATGGTGTAGTCCTTCAGCGTGTCCTCCACCGCCTTGGACTTCAGCTCTCTGTGCAGTTTCTCATTCTCCAAGACAACCACCCTGATCCTCTGCTTCACCCCCACAAGCTCCTCCTGAAAACAAACAAACAAAGACAGACAGACAATGGCATGCCTGCTTTGAATGGGACTGGTATATAAGGGTCTGATGTCAGGAGTTACTACCAACAAATACACACATACGATTACATGCCAATGGCAATACACTGGCCAGCAGAAGCTATGCCTAAGGCCCGTCCCCTGGCATCATCACATTTTAAACATCACTGTCTAACATCTCATTAGCTGAAAGTGACAGATGCTCAGTGGTGCCACCGTGCCACTCCCTCCACACTCAGACCTTGCAGAACTTGACTTCGGCCTCCAGGTGCCGGATGTACTCGGACTGGTTGTGGAGGATGGGTACCAGATCCTGAACAGCGGGTAAGCTGGCGTCATCAGAGGACTTCCGCTGACCGGAGGAAGGGAAACAGGAAGTTATGAAAGGCTGATCACCACTGCAGCTGGTGACATGAAGTACAGTTATCAATAATTTAGAGGCAACACCGAGATCAGAACACACACTGACACAAAAACAATACATATCTTCCAATGCAAATCTGAACAGAAATACAGAGGGCCATGGTTCTACTTTTACTGTGTAAAACAATTCTTCCCCTTTAAATAACAGGTGAACTTCCCCTTTAAATAACAGGTGAACTTCCCCTTTAAATAACAGGTGAACTTCCCCTTTAAATAACAGGTGAACTTCCCCTTGAAGTACCCCTTTTCAATTGTCATCAGACATGTGCTTGTACAAACTGGCGTGGGCTCAGTACCTCAGACATGGGCTTCCCCTTCGCTGTGCTGTGCAGGTTTGCTTCTTTCTCCTGCTTTAACAGTAATGATCTCAGCTGATTGACTGCAACAAACAGAGAGGCTTGTATTTATACCCAATAGCCATGAACAGAAAACCTTCAGTACACCCCAACAGTTATCTTCATCTGCTTAGCTAACCAAAGGGTAAGCAGCTTGCCTGACTTTAGAGCAGGGTTTCTCATCCCAGTCCTCGGGGACCACCAGACAGTCCACATTTTTGCTCTCTCCCAGTTGCCAGGGAATTGGGAGATAGCAAAAACATGGACCGTCTGGTGGTCCAATTGGTCTGGGTTGAGAAACCCTGCTTTAGAATGTACTCTTTCGTAGCCAATAGAAAAATACCAGAAGTTATTTGCTTTAAAAATTACTGGAAATTTCTAGAACGGCAGTAAGAATGATCCCTTCATTCAGTCAGGAGCACATAACAGAATACAGAGGCAGTTCACAGTAGCCGTGACCGGGGACCTGCGTCACTATGCTGCAGCCAGTGCCAGGACTCTTCTCCCACAATGCTGTCGCTCTGCTGGCCGCCCCCCGCATCCATACTGTCTGCTTCAGAGCTGGGATCCCCGAGGACGTCAGTCAGCTGCAGGATGCTGCGGTTAGCCCTTTCTGAAAAGCAGAGAGGATGGACGGCACGCGCTGAGCCATAAACGCACATTCAGCAGCTGGATAGGCATGCTAACTTGTTTAGTAGTTATTCCCTTAAAGTACTAAACGACTGCAAGACCCATAAAAGTTACTGTTGGAAACTGCATGTGAAATACCCTCTGTGGAAATTACAACTGAAACCAGTGTACTGTAGAACTTATTCAACTTAATCAATAGTATACACTGGTGTGCTTTACCCACCAGCACATCGGCTGGTACGGTATACTGTAGCTAGCAGCTAATCCAAGCCAATACACTAAGTAAACTGACCACGGCATTAACTTTAATATAGTAACGCAAGACGGCTTTACAGTCTCTAAAAGCCACACGAACCCGGAATTACTCTGGAACCTTAAAATGATTCTTTCGCTTTCCAAATTATCTGGCTAGTTATTCATACATCTTGTTATCAATATGGAAACTTGCTAGCTAAACACACTGCTACTACTAATTAGAAGCTTAGAGAGACGTGTCGTAGGACTTGCTTTCCCAAAATAATGCAAATGTAATATTTATGTCAAGCTAATTAATGACCTGCTGCTCAATTAAGTTGTGTAAAATAAAACAGACACCTAAACAGTAACGACAGTAAGAAATATCAGACAGATAACATGACAGGTGCCAGCTACTGCAACTAATATCCACTTTAGCCTGTTACCTACCTCTCAGCTTTTTCTGATATTCTCCAAATTCTTCCTCGTCTGAGTCCGACAGCGACTTCATTGAATACCACAGGGCTCTACTGTTAGAAGTGCAAAAGAAAATTTGAAAACAATTTTTAAATTTCAATATTACCGTTACGAGACGTGAACTTCCAGACGCATAATGTTTCGAGTAACATAAATTTAAACCGTAGAGCCGAGAAGCCGACAAATGAGTTTTCATACACACCCGTTAGTATTGAGGGAGTCTGGAAAATGTAGTTGTTGGGTGAATACTCAAGCTGTTTCTGACGACAACGGAAACCCCAAAAAAACAACAAGGCCCACAATTCAATTAGTTGCTAAGACGATGTGGCGAGGACGTAACCGCCGCCTCTCAGCCGTTGCCAGGACCTCCATACCAAAGCGCGCGTCCTGTATTGAGTCAGTCGATAACAAAGTGGTCCCGCCGCTTCCTGCGAAATAGACTTCGATTATTGGGTTAAATAACAAAGTGTCTTGCAAATTTCTCCACTCCTCTTACCAGTAGGCTAGTGCTCATGTCAATCACGATTTTATGGCCACGCCCACCGGATCGTGTTGGAACTGTGGACGTTTATTGCATTATGCGGCTTGCTCTCCAGCGCCGCTATGTGCAAGGAATAATGTTATTGCCGAGCAACCGATATCGATAGCAGACCAACGAACACAAGGATTGGGCTGGGCTCTGGACAGCATTGTATAGCTACAGAGCTACGTTGGATACAAATAACAGAATTTCTGGCTTGCTGCACAAACAGCATAATAACTAGGAAAAAGGGGTAAGTGAAAATATTTTTTTCCGGATCGTAGGTTTATTGCCATCCGGACTTAATATGGCCGGACAATAAATATAAGGATTAGACTCACATAATTTCATGAGTGATGCAGAGGTTTGCATTAACGGTTTCCAGTTTTGCACCGTCTGTCCGGCTGGCCCTATGAAATGGCCATTTTACCAGATCTGCGCAACAATACGTCGTTTGTTGTCCTATATTACGGCTTATTTATGTGCGATTTTTTTCAGCAATTTTTTCATCTGAGCCTGTTGTGAAAACCAGATTTGATACCGTATTTTTTCTACTAGATGTAAACAATGGTGTGCCTCCATAATGTAGACCCCAGTACTGCTATAGTCACATTACCCTTTGTACAGTCAATTTTTGGTCGTCATTAATTTATACCAGAAAAATAGAAATTTGACAATCGCGTTAAAATTTGTATATTTGTGGCAATGCACCAAAATACTATGAAATCATCACCTTAACAGCAGTAGTATTTCTCTTTTATTCTTGTTGTTATATATAAAACCTTGAAGCTGCTATTAATTGTGCAATTAATGATGTCTATACGACGTAATGAGCTTTTTATTGGAAGTGGCAGCAGTGAAAACCGGGTTAGAGTTGGGCGCCCATGCGTGCGGCGAGTGTCGAAAATCAACGGATTTTTTTCAGTAGTTTCGGCAGGGGAAAAAAAAGAAATCTTGCATGCTTGGCCCTGTAAAGCATTGTGCCTGAATAGACGTAGGTTTTTGTTTAGATGGGCAGCTGTATGTCGCTTTGAAAGCGTCCGCTGCTCCGCTTGCTGCTTTGGGATCTTGGGTGTTAATGCCTGGTGAATAATTGTGCGATTAGAGCGCTTTCCGACTGAATCTGCGGATGTTCTTGCCCGGGAAGCCGGCGCCCCTCTGCCCAGCCTTCAAGGAGACCGGCTCCTAGCTCCGAAACGAAACCACGCGTTATGGGGGAATTTCCTATACTCTCACAATTCAGAAACATTTTAATACCATCTTTCATATTTGCGCTATGATTTTTTTATTTTTTATTTTTTAAAAGAAACCCTAGGCTTATTGGATAAAACGACGCCAGAAATTCTGTCAGAATTTTCACTTAGGCTGAACGTTATTTTGGGAGTCTGAAAACGGTGTTCAGGTTTTGCCCTAACATCTGAAATCACAGCAGCATTATTTTCCCTGATCTGTCTACTGTGATATATTCCTTATTGTCTTAAACGGTTAGCCCTGTCAGACATCCTTTGAATAATATCCCAGCCATTTAGGGTGTATTATTATTTAATCAGCTAGATGTACTGTAAGACGCTCGGTGTAAGTTAGATTAATGGCACAATATGGGTCAGTGTGACATGTAATATAATTAAAACGTGTTCCGTCGTAGGCGTCTGCAGCCAAACATCGCATGTGCTTCACATTGCCTCACTGTAAATTTGCGAAAGCTGAAAGTTGGGAACTGGCTCGCTGGTAAGCAGCTCAAATGGATGTTTGCTCTTATGGGACTGGTGCCTGGTGCTGGTAGCAGGACACAGATAAAGGAGCCCTCTTTTTTTTTGAGCCGGGGAGCCTCCTCATCCTCTGGGAGCTGGAGCGCGCCTCTTCCTGTCCGCGTGCGACCACGTCTGGGGAGCCCCCGGGGGTCAAGTTGCCACAACTAGCCCAGACCAAATACTCACCCATGAATATGTATTTCAAGTGCCACCGGAAAACAGGTAATCAAGCACTTTGATGCACTCTAGGTTGCTATGGATGACACGTGATAATGTCAAAGAGTGGATGTGTGCTTTGATTCGTTGATAGTGGGTTTAGATCAGATGTTTATGCAGAAGTGGCTGTCAGATTGACAGTTTCCTGTGGTGAGGTTGTTGGTTCAGATGTGGTGATTGGCATGTTTGCTGGAAGCCTCACCACAGACACAGACAAGGGGGTCGTTTCTGAATTTTGAGTAGGCTTTGGTGAGGTTTCTGGAAATGGCCATTAAGCATGAACATCATCTTCATCATTCTTAAGATCTGTGCTGATCAGTGAGACACATTTAGCTTTGAAGAACCTGGCAAACTGATGCCATTGTATGAATAGTCAGATAGGCGAAGCAGCAAGGCATTCTGGGAATTGTGAGGATGTCGTTTTTTTTCTTGACCTAAGGAAGACTTTTTTGGGTGTTTTTTTTTTTAATCAGAAGTGGGTTACTGCTGGGGAGCACTGGAAGGAAACCAGTCTCAAATCACTGTGCATGTAACAATGGTGGCTGCAACATCAACTTGCTCTGCATCAAATAGCACTTATGTGGATGAGACATGGAAATGCAGAATATACAGTGACTTTGCTGGGCTGTCTCTTGTCCCTGTAATGGATTCCCTTTGATGAAGCACAAATATATCATCTTCCATGTGCAGAACCCAAAACCGCATAACATGCATGTTGTTATACTTTAGATGTGCACTGATTTTGTTCAGCATGAATGTGTGAATGGAGATGGTCAAACGTGCAGCCCACTCTCTGATATGTGATCCTGTTTGTGTGTTTCCACCAAGAAACCGCATGGCTGGCAACTCCGCATGTATACAGACTGTTTTTTCATCTTTGCTGTTCTTCAGCTTAAATTACGGAGCCCTGGTAAAACATGCTTCATAAGCAGACACCAGCGGGTGCATCAGGATGCCACGTCAGATGGCCATGATCCGAATATGTTGTCGTGCCTCTTCTGTTGTAGGGCATGTCATTAGGCTTCAGTAATATTGCTGTCGGCTGCATGTCTTTCAGGGTTTACTCTGCTTGAGCATTTCATCATATTCTCTTATCCCTGCCGTGCTGCATTTCAGTGTCCTTACAGCTGAGGTTTGAATATCTTTAAAAACACCCAAAAACCAAAATTAATTGTACTGCCTAGAATCATGTTCACCCTCCTGTTGTTGTGTAGATATATGTGAAGCATAATTTATTTATGGTTCATCTCCCTGAGATTTGTACAGCTTGACTATTGACAGAAAGCTTAAAAATGACGTGCATCCCCATGTCACGCTGTTAACGCTGTTGATCGCATCATCGTTTTGATAGTGGCTGTCAGGCGCCAGTTCGGAAGCATGTCCACTTCAGAGATGTCCACCGGCATCGCAGTATGTCTTGCTTTCAGCTACTGTGACAGCTCAGCGTGGGCATTTTTGGGCCAGCAGTTGCAGCCTGATTTCTCCAGTAACCCCGGTTCCCCTGAAATGACCTACATTGGTTATGTTGGATCCATCCACGTTGCAGGAGTCTCTGAATGCTAAGGAGACTGTTCGCTGAAGCTGCAGGAAAAAGGATGGGTGGGACTAACTGTGTTCTGCCAATCCCTGGTTTAGTTTCCCATTGCTTATCTTTCTATTGGTTCCTTTTTGGAATATACTGGGCAGTCACTGGCTACTCTACACCCATTGTGTTTCAAGGCCCATTTTGGTTAATTGATGTAAAGTCCTGATTCAAGAACAACCACAACATAAGGTTAAAACACCTGGCTGAAACCATGGTGGCTTAGGTCTGCATTCCCCCTGCTGGCTTTCAGCTGGCTCCCCCTTTGTATTCAGAGAATCACTGAAGTAGCAGTGAAATGTTTCTGCTTCACCTGAGTATTATCAGGAACTGTGGTGCTATCGGGGGACCCGCAGGTGGCCTCCTGTTAGCATCCATATGCAGCCTGGAATTGATTACCCTCGAACACCCAGGAGTCCTGAGCTATGAGATTTTGTCAGCTTCAGTCCATTTATAACTTGACTGCATGCTAAGTGGATTTTCCATTTTCCCCAAACCCTCAGAAGATTCCCGCTGGTTCCATTGCTTTTGGCTGAGCTCGGCTGCTTTTATTGGGCTAAGTGTGTTTCATTTGTTGCATTGTTAAATATCACATCGCCACAATGATTGATCACATCTCAGAGCTCGATAGCATTTCTGCTTAGACACCACCATAAAAGCTTCCTGCTGGATTTAAATATTAGTCTTATTTGTTATATATTTATTACCATATAAGACATAACACTTTCTGTAGACATTTTTTGCATAATTTTGAAATTGGAGATTTATGTGATTATAACTGTCTCTAAATTAATATCTTTTTTGAACTTGACACTGGTGTGATTATAAGATATTATTATTATCCTGGTAATAGATTTTATAAATGTTATTAAAAAAAAAAAAAAACCTCTGCAATATCAGTGCTTGCTTATCTGTATTGCAACTGCTGTAAACTGGAATATGTGCATATGGGAGTCTGCTTGCAGGAGAGTCTGGGCTCTGGGGAGGGAGCTGGCTGGCCTGAAAGGATTGGTCTGAATCTCAGCTGGGTGACAGGGCTTGTGGGAGGAACACTGCCGCATTCAGACGTCAGGAAGCCCGCTGGGTGAATAATGGAGGAGGCAGCAGTGCCGATCCCGGTGGCGTTTCACGGCTTCCTGTTCTCAGGAGCCGTCCGCGTCCACGGGGAATTCCAGAATCCAGCTCTGCCGCTACTGACTGAGAGCGACCAGCAAATGACTTGCTTGAGATGAAATGAAACCTGGACTCTTTAGTGATTCCAGGAACCATGGAGTCATTGCCACAATGGTCACTGTCTGATTCGCTTAGCCGCCCTGTGCTGTTGTGCATTAGTGAATGAATGTCTCTCTTAATCAGTCCCTAGATGCTTGGAAAATGCTCCTTGAAGTGATTATACTAAAGTTAGACTGTATGTAAATGTAGTTTAAACAGTATAGAGTAGTGGAATAATACATTTTTTAGCAGCTTTTGTGGGAATGAAGCGAACAAAATGGCATTAAATCTGGAGTTAGGCAGTCGGATGTTGCTGGATTTTGATTTCCTCAGATCATCTTCCCTGTGACAGGTGTGAGAGGTCAGCCGTGCCGAGATTGCGTCTAATTGCTTGTCATCCTGTTATTTTGCAAAACGTAAATTACGTGATAGCTGGCCTACAGAGCTTTCATGTGGATCCCTGTCATACTCCGTCAGCTTTTCTGTTTTTTT